GGGTCAATTTCAGTTTCCCACTCTCCACCAGTCAACTCCTATAGACAACTGGTGACCAATCCCTGTCAGTTCTGCCTCAGAGATATTTCTTACCTCTAGCTTCTCTACTCTCATTGCCTCTGCCTTGAGTTCAGGCCCTCATCATCTCTCACTCCTTCATCTGATTTATTGACAGCTTTCAATCTTGTCTTACTCCTCCTAGTTGAAATGACCACCAGACATACCATACTAAAGCACGAATTGGATCATCTCATGGTCCTATTCGAAGCTGCCCTTCATAAACTGATTCCCACATAACCTCTCTGGCTTTACTTGGCCCCTCCCCTCCAAACACGGCCTTTATCCAAACACAATGTTTTCCAAACACAGCATTAACTTTGCATTGTGGTTCTTTCTCTGGAAACACATTTCCATCTCTATTGCCTACGAAACTCGCACGTGGCTCTCCAAGCTAACTCAGAGACTTCCTCTATGAAGCTTTCCTGGCTCATCAAGAGTCTCACAGCTCCTTATTTGAAGCTAATCTGTCCACTTACTATTTCTTGCGTGCTACAGTAATTTTATCACTTATTTCTTTGTCTACATCCTATAGATTGTGAGATTCTCAGGGATAGGGGCTATCTTTTATTCATACACGATTGCTAGCAAATTGCCCAGCAAATAAGTCATTCTTTGCTGAATGAATTAATAAAAGCCATATTTCAAGGTGCAACTCAAAACTCTGTCAAAGAAAATACCAATCCATCTGCTAGTCTGATCTTTCTAACCTTCCTTGCTCTTGTACACGTTTATCAGAACCACTTGGGAACTGTTGGGGAGTGTAAATCATCACATTCTAGCCATACTGCATAGTTTTCCCTTCTTGTATTGTTAAGATATTATTCAGAAAAAGATCCATTCATCAAGAATAAATTGATATAAAAACATCCCTTGGATTTCTCTATATACACGAGACTCCTTTTAATAATCTGTTTCAAGCTGGAGCCTTTCCCTTTGCTTCTAAGTGCATCTGAAAGATTTTAATAAATTTCCCAGGAATAATATTAGTAAGAAGAGCTAATAGTTCTTGAATGTCCGTTGTGCATTAAGTTTCTCTTAAGAACTTTACCTATTTTAATTCATTCAATTTTCATAACAGCCCTATAAAGTGGATCCCATTATTATCCCCACTTTTCAGATGAGGAAATATGATCCTGGTCTTTTCTGCAAATGGCTCAGGCCTAAATACATAAGCTTCAGTTTCTACCTGGCCCCATTCACACGGAGCAGCTGCACAAAATGGTGATTGTCTTAGTCATCTAGTGCTGCTACAACAGAAATACCACAAGTGGATGGTTTTAATGAAGAGAAGTTTATTTCTTCATAGTCCAAGTAGGCTAAAAGTCCAAATTCAGGGCATCAGCTTCAGGGGAAGGCTTGTTCTCTCTGTCGGCCTTCTTCTCTTCAGTGTTCCCCTGGACTAGGAGCTTCTCTGCGCCAGGACCCTGGTCCAAAGGACGCGCTCTGCTCCCAGCACTG